AACCACATTCCCAAATTTTCTAAAAATTGCAAATGGTAACTTGATAATTACCATATTAAATAAATTGAAAAAAAATCAAAAAAATTAAGAAAAAAATTTAAAAAATGGGTTGTCTTCCCCACGCCACCCCACCCCACCATACAAAATCTCTCTGCATAGCAAATCCTCCAAATCCGAAGTCCCATTACATCTCTCTGCACAATGAGGTTTGATACTGGATATGAAAATGAAAGAGCTTGTACAAAGAGGGGAAGTGCAGAGATATATAATGGGGTTTCAGATTTGGAGGATTTGCTATGCAGAGAGATTTTGTAGGGTGGGGGAAGAAGAAGATGAATAGTAGGGTGACGTGGGTGGGGTGGGGTGAAGAAGACAGCCAATTTTTTTAATTTTTTTCTTAATTTTTTGATTTTTTTTTCAATTTATTTACTATGATAATTATCAAGTTATCATTTGCAATTTTTAGAAATTTTGGGAATGTGGTTGCAATTAGTTTTTTGTTTTTTTTCCTTTCATTTCTTTTTGTTTTATTTAAATAGAGGGTAAAATCGTCAAAAATTGATGAAAAAGACGTTCAGCGCCAAGAAAGTGGAAAGTAGGGACATTTTGTGTCAAAAAATGAACGGTAAGGATATTTTCCACAATATACTTGAAAGATAGGAACGTTTTGTGTCAATTACCCTATTTTTTAATATGTGATTAAATGAAATATCTTTATGGGAGTATAATTTGAGCACACGATTATTGATAGTTATTTTATTGACACGTTTGGTTGTAGTTAGATGGATTCGTACTATGGGTAATGAGGTATAAGTAAGTATGCAGTACATGTTGTTGGAATAAACGTTATTATTTATAATGTAAATTGAAATATGTTTTCAATAGGTGCGGCTCTATAATTGTAAATGATGCAGGGAGTCATGTTGTGTGGAATAAATATAATTATTTAGGCCTATTTGAGCCCCACTATTTTCGTATTAAAATAAAAAATATGATCGTTATTTATCATATCAATTCACTATATTTGACTTTTTATCTCTTATGTAAGACTCACAACGATTATATTTTTTATTTTCATTTTTTCAATAATATAGTTCAAACGGGGGCTTAAAAAATGCATGATTAAAAAAAAAAGTCATAATCATTTAATAGGATGCAAACTACACCATTTTAAGTGAAAAATGTGTCGTCTATATTAGTCCCTGTGACATCCATTATTTGGAAAATTAAAGAGTTTTAAGTAGAGCTTGTTTGGTTAAGAATTTAAACTAATTTAAATTAATTTTTTGACCATTATTTTACTATTCAAGTTATCATTTTTGAATTATTCTCTCATATGTAGAACCCACTTTATTTATAACGTCAAAAAAATAATTTTCAAAATCCCTACCAAACAAATACATAGTAGTTTTTTGAATAATGTGTGATTAAAAAGCAAAAAAATAAAAATAAATTATTGATTTGAATATTTTATTGTGTGAATGTATGATGAAGAATCATACTGTAACAAATAAATTAAAATTTTAAAGGTTGAACACACAATAAAAGATGCAACTATTCATAAAGTTATTTGAAAATCTATAAATAGAGATCTTCAGTTTTATTTTTTATCACACCAAATCAATTAAGGGTCCATTTGATAGGTTTCATTTTCCATGAAATTTTCCACCATTTTGGTATGTTTGAGAGCCAAAATTTTCACGGAATTGGTTTTCCATGGAACGTCCACGTGACTTGATTTTCTTGCTTTTTAAGGAATTGATTTCTCTTTGATTTTGGTATGAATTGGGTTTTCCATCTTCTTCTTTTTATTTAAATTTTTTTTTTCAATGAAAACAAATTCTATTCACAATTGTAACAAATTATATTCCTTTAATTAATAATTTTCATGAAAAATAAAATCAAACGAACACCAAAAGATAAAAAATTTCAACATTTTTCAAGTGAAAAATTATACCAACCGAACACATTTAATTGAAAATTTCCAATAAAACAAGTTATAGGTAATTCAATTCCCTGAAATTTGTTTTCTTTCCACCCAAATTTCACTATTGCAATTGGACCCTAAAGTTAAAATTGATTTCTAATTTTCTCACCTTTTCTAAAATTCTATTTTTTTTATTTTGTTGAAAAAAAATTATTTTAGACATAAAATTCTATCTGAGTATTTTAGTTTGTGTCTATTCTATTCAAGAAAAAATATTGTCCACATTATGGTTCAATCAACAAGGTTATTATAGTGTAGTACCAATTTTGGAAGAAGTATTATATTTTGGGAGATAAACGTTCAATTATCATATTGTCATCACTGCAGAGGACGAAATCTATTTTAATGAGATTTGCTACGGCATCTTTTTGATTGTACTAATCATTAATTTGACAAAACATGTTTCACTTGTGTCCACTGTCACATGCTAAACATGCAATATGAAGCTTTAAGCTCCAGAAGATTATATAGAGGAATAATTTCTTGTAAATCCCAAGTTGAACACGAATTTGCAATTTGCAGATATGCGTAAGTTTTTATTTAGTCCTTGATTTTATTTTATGTTTTCACATTCAAGTTTTATATTAGCACAACTTAAACTTTTAGGGTTTTTTCATCTAATCACAAAAAATGTTGGGATTTCTTGATTATTGGACAAATTAAAAGGATGTGTTTGAAACCACGAGTTCATGAGTAAGTTTTAAAGTGAAGGGTGCTAATTTTGCAAAGAAAAAGGCTCTGTGTTGTACGTGACGTACAATGCTCTCACAATTGTGGGGCTACGATTATTTTAATCGTGGGCTCTATTTTTTGTATGTGAGAGGACTATCAATCATGATATCAAAATTATTGTATTTGTAGCATTGCTCTTTTGCAAATCGCTAAGCGAGTGGCAACTTGAACACGAGGCCCTAAAATTTTCGTGATTTTCTTTGTCTTCGCAATTAATTTCATAATGAATTTCAAATGGGTTTTACATTTTCAATAAGGTATGTACTTTGAATTTATTTTTCAAATAATGTGAGCTGCGTTTAAGATTCAAATCAATTAAGTATTGTAACTAAATGGGGCCAAGCGAGGACTAAGGAGTGTGTGAAATGTCGAAATTTCTTCTCGAAATTCATATAAATTTAATATTTCAAGGGAAATAATTGATTAATAATAGACACTCATGTCACTTCATAATCTTCAATGACATTTCTCCAAATCTAGCGTTGAATTGATTTTATGATACATAAGGACAATCATCTTTAAAAAAAATGTTATTAATCAATGAAGATTCTATAATTTCTAATGTAATTTGGGAATTACACTAATCGACTTGATAATAAGTCAGGTTTCGAAATTAAAAAGTTAAATCAAGTTGGTTTTAAAGAAATTTTTATTTTTCTAAATAATTAGATAGTCGAGATAAAAAGGGTCTAGGCTAAGATATTTCGGATTAAATTGTCATCCCTTCAACTTGTGTACTTTTCATGGTTGTATTCTTGCCAATTCAAGTAGTACAATTCCATTGCAGGAAATTTGAAATTATTTAAAATGCTTATTTATGGCTTCCATTAGTCTCCACCTAGCTTATTCGTGTAACGTGGTACCCTCGAGTTAATTGACACGATAACAAATATTTACTATTTTACTTTAATTTAATAAACAACCAAGATATCTCCGTCAATAAAAAAACAACTAGATTCAAATTACTTTTAATTCTGTTACATGCTCTCTATTTGAAATTGTTTTATCATCGTAATCGAGAAGTACAGACGTGGATCAGTTACATAGACTAGAATAATCTGTAAATTTCTATGCTGCCAAATGTGAAAGCTTATTTATGAGCATTCAATTGTAAAGAGAGGAAAAAAAATCTTCATCGTTAAGAGTAAGACTCGACTCCTCGTATGTTTGTGCAATGGACATCTTAACTTCATTAAATACAATCCCAACTGCACCTGCCAAATGGCATTCATCCCCTCACTTGACCAATAAACCTAAGCATGTTTTTCCTTCACAAAGTCCCGCCAACCACTAGATTTGCGGCCCATATCACCACCCTCTACCCCCCTACGCACCCAACATATCTCTACCCTCTTATCTGTGTGTATATATGTAAAGAGAGAGAGAGAGAGAGAAGACAGTCATATTATTCTCTTGAATAAGAAGAAAAGTTGAGTAAAAAGCTTTGTTTTGATGGTTTGTTTCTGCTTTTTGGTGGATCAGAAGAGGGTAATCAAGAAGAGCAAGCCGGTGGCCGGAATGTGTTCGCGTTGCAGCCACGGCGCGAGGGTGGCGGATATGAAAACCATGACAAGATTTTGTTATATCCCATTTTATTGGAAATCTTGGAAGGCTATAATCTGCAGTTTTTGTGGGGCTATTCTCAAATCTTACAGGTGAACCCATTCTGCAGTTTTCGCACCTGAATCAGAATACGCTGCTTATATCTTTGTGACATGCGATGAGATGCACAAAGGAAAGGAAGAAGGCCGGCTTTAGCGACTTGAAGATCGTTCCTTTGTTACTTTACATAAGAGTCTATGTTCGGTACAGAGTACTGCGTTTATACAGTTATGATTCGAAATACCAAACGTCTCGTATAGCTATTTAAGGATTGAAAAACTAGATTTAAACCAGTAAATTTTATCACTTATTGATAAGTCTAAAGTTCTTATCCCC